TGAGGACAATGCAACAAACTTTCATTTTAGTCAGTTCGGTGCTAATAACTCTGCAATCAATTCTGCCATGTATAAACTTCCACCTAATGGTGGTAAAAACAACAATAATAAAAAGGGGACGCGACAAAGGAGGAGTATGTCAAATTTATCAGTGTTAAGTAGGGATAACCTTGATCAGGTTGTAAAAAAACTGGAAACTATTCAGTGTGATGATCAGAGTGTCAGTGACTTGGGGAAGCAGAAAAACATGCTTCCTGAAATGATGATAGATGGTATAGCTTATGACCCAGAGGAACAGGTCACACCCACTCTTAGTAAATTCCCAGTGTATCAAAAGCAAGTGTCTGTGCGCTCATGTCAGTCCGAATACTCTACTATGGAGGATATTATTTCTAATGATAACCCCTCATTGACTGTGAAGCCAATTCCTGTGATGCCAATGAAAAACTATCATCGTGTTTTGTCGGAGTATGACAATCTGACGAATCAGTATGCCCCTCCCTCTGCGCGCTCACATACTAGTACTGGTACAGAGTTCTGTAAGCCATGGGGAAATAACTTCTTTGAGTCCCTACTGATCAAAACTAATAATCCTAAAATGGTACCCCCGATGGATGTGAATGAACGTATTCAGGCATGGAGATCTGATAGCCAGAAATTCCGCCCTGTGTCGAGTGTGAGGGACAGTGTGATCTCTAACTCTACTTTAATGGAGGAGGAGGAAGAGGACGAGTCTATCTGTGATACGCCCCAGCCCGCTGTCATACAGCCTCCACCCCTCCCCAGTGTTCCATGTCCCAGTCGTGTCCCTCCCACTGGGGAACACCACATGTCGAAGGCCAGGGAGGGCCAGGACGAAGATGACAAGTCAGAGGCATCTACAACCACTAACACATTCCACAGCGTTGCACAGCCCAAGCCGTCAAAAGGTAAGCTGACACCGTGGATAGGTGTTATATAGTATTTCTGTTGTTCGCAAGAGGAAAACGCTTCTTAAGAAGTTAAATTTTACATTTTTGGTAAACTGTTGATGTAACTTTTCATTGTACTTGGTAAGAAACAGTATTTCTGTGATACTTTTTGTCACAACAGCAACATGATTATCTAAATCAGATATTAATATCACATTAAACAGTTACAGTATTTATTTTTTATTTATCTCAGACTTTGTTGTAAAAAAATATATAATTTTAACCTTTCCAGTTCCTATAGAGAGCTCAAATCAGGCCCTGTTTTGAAAATAAGAGATAATAAATGTTAAATTTGCTCAGTTATAATTGTTCATCCTGTATGCTGTATTTATTTAGATATTACTGTCCTTCAAGTATGCTATACCAGTTCAGATGATCTTCCATGTCTGAATGGTTCAAGTGTATGAAAATGTTCAGTGGATGTTAACATTTCCAGACATTCTTTTTTATTTGGGGTTATTGTGTTTACAGCACATCCTGTGGCCCCAAAACACCACAAGCCTAAAAGTCAGCACCCTGAGACACGAATACGGGATTACATCATTAAGTAAGTGTCACCTGGTACAAATGTTCTAGGACAACATCACGACTAAAGTCAATACATGTAGTTCTAACAAATTCTTTATCAATACCAAGTCAAGAGTTCTAACACACTCCTTTAACTCATTCTTTGTCAAAAAGAAACAACTTTTACAGGTATATTTTTGCATATTTTTGCCATGTGGTGATAATGTTGTGAATATTGACCAAATTGTCTTAAATCCATGATGGGGC